TCCGCTACACTTTCGGAGTGGCGAATGATAATGAAGAAGAGGTACAGGTCAAGAGGCACTTCTCTAAAGTACAATTTACAACATCGGGACCGCCCGGTCGGTCTTCGCCCGACCACCGACACGAACTTCCACTAATTAATTCATTGACCGACGTTTATTTGCCCCGCGCCTTGCTCGACTACACAAATATCAACGATACTCGCTCTTGTATTTTCCGACCATTTTTAGTAATCCTCGGAGACTCGTTCTCTCGCAGTAAAGGTACTCTCGACAATTTTGCACCCTACATCGCTCTCGTTAATTTTGCTGACCGTTTCGAGTGTCAACGTTCCCAATACCGATCGTTTCTGAACAACGGTTAACTCGAACGCAAAGATTGTAATTAATTCGACTGTTTCAAGGGAGTGAATTAATTCGAAACGTAGAGAAAGCGGGAAAAGAATCGAACAATGAGACGAAGAAAGAGGGGCAAGATAAAGCCCGTCAGTCTCCGTTAGAGACAGCCAACAAAATTCCTGGCGTACAATTTCTCGCGCACTGCAGGACTACAATGGAAACCGACACCTCACGCGTAAAGCCATTATTATTATCATCATTGGTGTTGTTCCATTTACGCCGTCGTGTTCGAAGAACCGTAAAACGGCTCGGAACAGCGAATAAATTTCGGCATAAATCTCAGACTGACCTTTAGAATTGGTCTCGCGTTTACGGGGATGCTCGAATTCGTTGCTCGATCGCGGCGGAAAATCGGCCAAGTCCGATCCAGCACGAGTCACGTTTCCTATTCGTGGTGTCCTGGTTCGCTCGACAAATGAATGGCTGAAATATTCAGATGTAATTGCCACGCGCGCGCATCCCGCTCGCTATTAACACAAGAAACGTTTGTATTCAAAGCGTTGACCAGAGACGGCGTACGAAGACAAATGCTTGTTTGCACGCCGCGGAAAATTTCATTTTCCAAGAGTCATTAGACCCGGGGATATTGGCACGGCCTGCTGGATAACTGGTTCGCAATTTTCCTCGAGTACAAGTTATAAATAAAGCGAACGTATCGCGTGGAGAAACCGATCGATCAACGGAATTGTTCATCGGCTCGTACGGATGAAAATTATATTCCTCCGTGAAACGATCAAACGGTTCTCCCATTAAGTCGATTGTTTCGAAGCTGCGTTTACTTATTAAATCATCATCGTACAATATATAAGAGCACGTAGAGGCTCGGTGGAAAGCTCACGGTCCCATTGATCGTTTCTTCGCGTAAAGCTGTTTCCTTCGTAATTTCAATCGAATTAAACGCAAGAAAGAGAACGGCGACGCGTCAAAGGCGCAAGGTAGAATAGCAAACGCGTACGTTCGTGTTTATTTCAGCGCTGACTCGGCGAGTCCCGCCTCGAATTCGTCGTCGCATAGAGGAATTATTCGCTTATTAAGTTGCACGCCTTTGGTCCCTGCTTGTGCTCCACTTTCGACAGAAATTGCATTGAAATTCGCGAATGCACGGGACTGTGCGCGACCGTGCGAATTCGATTGTCTTTCATCGGCCATTGCGGTAATTGCGAGTGCAGGTGGATCGGTTGGAACATCAAGCGGACGGGCGCGATTATTCGAAGCGAGTGATGGAGAACTCGACACGACATCAAGCATTCATCTATGCATCGTTCAATGGAACGATCGTGAAACGCTGCTGCGTTTGCTCCGGTTAAATTCCATGGAAAATATCCCGCAGAGTCGATAAAATAATCGGGACTTCTCTCGTTTATGCGTTACTTTCAGCTAACCCTTTAGATTTCTGTCGCAGATTCAACCTTTCTATAGAATATTCGCTACATAGAGTCGTGCACGTTTCATTTTACGGCAGAGGGAAACGGGATAAAGAACGAACGAAAGTATCCTTAATACCTATCTCGAGGATTAATTACGAGATTATTCAAAATTCGCTCGGGGATAAGTTTCCTCTGTTCTCTCGCCAGCATTTTTTCCGTATGAAATCCTCAAAAGCTGGCGGAATCCGGAAGAACGGTATACCGGGGGAACAAACGTGAAACTAGAACTTCGACAAGAAATATAAGGGTCCCGAGAAGGCTGGCTATAAATCAATCGCGTCGATATTGGCATTCGTTTAATAAATGATCGTAGAGAACGGGTCGTAGGGAACACGGTTCGTTTGCCTGTGCCTCCAGCCTCGCACGAGGTACGATATAAACGATGCACATGAAAAATCAGTTATCGAGGGTGTTACTCGTCGGACGAGTAACGTTCGAATATTCGACATCGCGTTAATACGTAATCCGTGGCGATCGTTGTTCGTCTGGATGATCGGAAACGAGGTGAAAAAACATACGCGTACGGGGGAATACCGGTGACACGAACTACCGGCAATGCTTGGATAAGGAAAGGGGAAAAAGCAGCCACTGAATAGCAAACTAGTTCTCGAGAGGCGAGAAAACTCGTTGAAAACTCGTAAAATGATTTCGAGGTCTAAGTTTGATACAATTTACATATGCAATACGTTTCGACGCTGTAACGTGCTCCCACCTTTATCTCCGGTACAATACGAATGCCTCCCTCTCCGGGAGGCTACATCTCGACTTCCGCTTTCAACTTGAACTGCCTCTGTTGGTTTCTACGGCGACCGATTTTCCGACGATTAACTACATTACGCGTAATGACGTAGCAAGGGTTCAAAGGGCACTTTATCGGCCCAAACCGGTACAGCCAGAACCGGAGAATGCGGTATTCTCTCGGGAGTACAATCGACAAAGCGTTTCTCGCGGAATTTAGTGCTCCATCTCGTTGAACCGACCGACAACTAACAACTACTGGCATTGTTCGGTGTAAAAACCGATGATTGATTGTACAAACGCGATCCACGGAATAACGGATAACCGATATACTAGCGCGTAAAAGAATTACGTTCTCTTACCAAGTTACACGCGTCGCAACCTCCGCATCGCGCACCATCGCGTCCTGCAAGTCGGTCGCTGGATCACCTATCGCACGATAACATACTAGAGAGAGGACGTTACGTGTCCGTGAAACGAAACGTTCACTTGTCCTCGAGATCTTCGTCAACTTTCTTCGTCTCGATCGAAGGATTTTCACGAGATTATGTCGATAATTAAGAGACACGTGATCCCGGTTCGGATAACAAAGATTCGAACGTTCGCGTGTCCGAGAAGTCGAAACACGAACCAGAAAAAAACGCGACGTGTAAAACGACACACCTCTGTACCAGCGACGGCAGCGTTGATGCGGACCGCGAAAGGGAGGCTGCGAAACTGAGATGAAACCACGGCGCAACCCCTGTGCGCGCGCGCACAAAACCACCCCCGGAATACACGGAAGCAGCCCGGCCAACCGAACGTTACCCCTCGTCCCTCCCTACTTACCTTCTCAACAGGACCACCGTGCGACGAGCACGACGATGTGCTCTCGCTTCCATTTTTCCTCTCCTCCGTGTTCCATTGTCCTCCTTCTTTCTGCCTTCTTCCTGCTGGCCGACCACAAAATTCTCTACGAATCGAAACCTCGGCGACTTTCGTGGCTACCGACCGCTATCCCCATTAATCGATGCTTCCTGCTGTAACTTCCGAGTTGTCGGTTCCTCGTTTCGTTAACGCGTTCTTGATTGATCACTGTACCGATTCGAAAACTGGCCGAAATGGAAACAGCGGCAAGGGATCAGAATCACCTTTCGTACCCTTCCGAATCCTAACGAAACTTTATGATACTACCGAAACCATTTATAACGATTTTACCTACGACACGATTTAATGTATATCGACAAAGGGAAGCGTAATCAGTATTGCATGTTGTAATATACATTTAGGTGTTATGATCAATGGATTATATCAAAACAAATACAAGAGGTTTATCGAACCACTAGAGTTCACTCGATTAGAGCTTGCGTGGTTGAAGTTCGATGACTCATTGATAGAGGTTGAACAATGTTGCTCATTCCGAGGACTTTAATTGGCAATTACGAGGCCGTTGGTAAACTCGGGCTTTTTTAAATTCGGTCAATCGAATCGCGCGCTCATAGAGTGTCTCCGCTGCCTGCTTCCAATTACTCCCCGATCCTCGCGTTTCCCGGATTCGCGTTAAATCGTTAACCAGTCGCTATCAAACTGACTTTCCCGTATGTCCTCGCGAGAAAGCAATTGGAAAGTTCCTACCGTATGCGGCCATCGCAATTAATCGATTACAGCTAAATATTAATTTCATTTGTTGGACATTCATACTGTCACGGGTATACATTTTAATCGAAAATCCAGTTTTGTTCGAAACAAATTTAACATATTTGCAGCAGTCTCTTTTCGCTCGCTACTCAGAAATTTCGTCTTCGAATTCGCTGTTCGATCGTGTGACAACCGACTCGACTCTCGAGGAAAGTTTCCAGGCATTTTATTGACAAGCGCATCGTTCGCGGCAAATTGAAAGGGGAGCGTGTACGAAATTTCCCGTGGCAAATTTCATTTTTCATTCCGTGTCTCATGCAAGACGTTCTACAATCAAATAACCCTGGCCGATAAAGTAACGTTACATCTTTTCGCAATTTAAGGCGCTCCGGAAGTTTCGACGTAACGTGTAAACCGAGGGAAAGTCCGAGTACACGGGAAGGCTTCTTCTTCAGGAAAAGCTTGGCTTGCCTAGGGATCCTTAATAAAAACCTACGATCACAGAGTAGCCGGAGGTGGTAGAGAGCGACGAGAGGAGGAGCATGGAAATTGCAACAAAATTTTACTCTCGTCTTTACCAAAATCAGGCTACGATTTATCGACGGGTTAAAACGAACGAGCAGAATTTCGAACGTCGTCGTCGCTTTTGATTACGGATTAAAATTTAAGACGATCCAGATGCTCGTACCGCTTTATCGCGCTTTGCGAGGGCTTCCTAGCAATTATTAGATACTTACGAATTGACAAGAACGCTCAAAGCTGCCATCTGCGAGAAATAAGTTTCCCCCAAGTTATATCGAACAAGCGACAAAACTCGATGACTGCAAAATATCTTCCGCGGAAACATTTATTTCTCGTTTGCGAAAGTCGACGAATCGAAAATGTCAGGCGAACGTCAAAATCGAAAAATGTTCGCGACGAGTTCGCCCCGAGATAAAAAATTCATTCTCTTCGATGTAGCTACTCCTTCGAATTCCTCACGTTGCATCACCGCGCGGTTTCCCACGAATACTTTCAGCCGTTTCCAAGGATCCTGCCAGAGCGTTGTCGTAATTACAGAGCCTCCTATTCAGCGTAGCCTCGAGCGTGGCCCAAGATGGCAATCCGTCTCCATTCTTCGACTCGGTGTCGTCCAGCTTCCGTCGCGAGTCCAGCGTGCTCCAGTTAGGCGACTCCTCGCGGCTGATCATCTCGCCGAATGTATTTTTCGCGAGACCACGATCCACGCAGGGACTGACCCGTGCAGAGGTACTTCCTGAAATTGAAAAATCAATTGCCGTATTGTTTGTGCACCGTTACCGGTATTCGCTCGCGGAAAAAATAAATCCCGTATCTGCTGCGAGCAAATTGTTGGCACGTTCGTATTAAACGATCGAATGCCTCGAACCGAGATAAATGCAAATAAAACGGAACGCGGGCCAGAATAAAATAATTGACTTCGAGAAGCGATCGACCCCGGCGCGCGAATTTCATACGTGGAAAAGTTCGGAAGGATATTGCTGTAAATTATTTTCTGCCGCTCTTCTCGCCGAGAATTACCTTGTATTTATCCTGCTGCGTTTTTATCGATACGTTGTATGAAGCGGTCAGTAAACGTACATTACTGTCGATTTACCGATCGTTTTAACGAACGTGTTCGCTACCTATAGTTTACGTTCGTTCAACTTTATACGGCCACCATGGCACATAGAAGAATAATAGCTACCTTTAATGGCGTCCCATATCGGAGCGCGGTATTTTCTGAGCGTTATTGTCCCCGCGAAGGAATCGATAGAAGAGCTCCAAGACGACACCGAATACGAATCCCAGACGCAGAAGCGCTGCCTCGCGAGCGCGTTGCGTCTCAAAGTATCATGCATTTCTTGCATTTCCCTCTCGAGCTGTTTTTGATGTTCCGCGACAATGCGACGCTCGCGAACACCGGGCGATAATCGTGGAGATGAATCCAGCAGATCCGATTCTGACCTGAAGAGGATAAAGATGATTCTATTTATTCGCCGTGCATAGAGGAAGCGTAATAGCGCGCTCATTAACACCTCTTCAAACGTCAAAGGCGTGCGTGAACGTTCAGAAATGCTTCCCCGACTTGTACAGATAAATGTCTTTCTCTATGTTCGACTAAATGAACTTCCGAATGTCTCGTATCTAGATTATCCGATTAAGTCTCGGTTAAAGGTAACAATTTTCTGCGAGATGAAACTGCACCTCGGTCTGTAGACTTGTCTCGGTGAATCCGATTCATCGACGCAGAGGAGCTTCCTCGAGCGGCGAGAGGAGTCTCTGGCGACCCGTTGTATCGTATCCAACATGACCGTCCGCTGTTCTCGAGGCAATAGGGCCGCTAGCTCTTGCAAAACCTATGAACAAAAAGTACTTCGTCCGTAGATTCGTAAAGTCACCCTGTAAGGATCTTAACTCCGGTCACAACGAGGATTTGCCGGATAGAGTAACCGGTGGTGGGTTTAGGATAGGTGGAAAAAGGTGACTTTTTCTTGGGGCGTTATTCATGACGAAGCCTCGAAACTTGCTAAATAAAAAGAACATTCCTCCTCGGATGTTCGGTTACCTCGTCGACTGAGAGGTCTTCCCTCCTTATCCGCGAGTCGGACGAGAGAAAGACTGAAAACGATGTCGGGCGAGACCACGCTCGACGTTGGATGGGATTAAACTTAGTTTCGAAGCGCAAAACGCATTTTCCATAAGCATAAGGGGAGCCGTACCGTCCCGGTGAATCGGGTTGTCGCTCTTTAAGTAGAAAGTTGGCACATAGAGGATGGAGACGAGAAGCAGGAGCCAAGTGCTCCTCGGCTTCTCGGCGTAGCGCGCTCGAGAAAGTAAATACGTGTCTACTTTTTTCTCTTTTTTATTTCGGTCTTCAGTGGCTCTGAAAATACATTCATCCATAGTCCCAGGAACACGGGAGTCGGTCGTCATTTTCTTTCGTTCGAGATCGCTCTGGCGGATGGACGTCGAACCGATTTCAGTCGAAATCGTTGGAAAACACGAAGAATTGTCGACATCTGGAACGCGATCTAATCGAGACGGGCAAACTCGCGATTCGCCGCTGAAATTTCTTTTCTCTTTAAAACGAGAATTGATTGGCAGAACAAACAGGATGAAAATTTCCCAAACGGTCGGGAAAATTCCATCGCAGTTTCGCGAGAAAGAATTGATCGTATTCAAAGAGATTTCCTACCGAAACCAGACCGCGTTCGCGAGGTTAGAATCAACCCTCGAAGCGTCGAAACGTTCCCAAAAGGTTCTGCCTCGTGGCGGATACACGCGAGACCGGAAATTAGCTGAAATGGAAGCGCGCGACCAACCCCCCGAGGCGCTCTCCTCGACGTAGCGGAATAAACAAAGCGAGAAATACCCTTTCATCCCCGGTGACTGTTCGATATTATCCCTTCGAGAGGATAAAGTTCGTTCGCGAAGAAGCTTTCTCGACGCTCGAGTCCAATTCGCTCGAAGGAACGCGGAGAGGAATGCGTCGATTCGAAAGTTTCCTCGGAGAAACTTGCTACTCGTGATAATCGTCGCGCGAGGAGCAATATCGAACGAGTATCATCGCGAAGAGAAAGAGATATTCGTACGACGAGGCATTGTAGGTCCAACGGAGGCGGCCCTGACTATTACGCCGGGAAAAATAAAAGGAAGAAGTCGGTCGCGTTCGCCGGAACGATACCATCGGTCCGATGAAAGGCACGTCGCTTCGTAAACTTTGAACAGCTTTGGAGACCTTAGAAATCCACCTGTCTCCCGTGCGATTCACAACAAAGAACAGGAACGACCATCGTTTATTTTGTCCGAGAAAAATGGTCACGAACGTCGATAGATCGACTAAAACGTTAATGGGCTAAGGAGCAATCGCTTCGAAGCATCGGCACGAGAATTCCGTTTCTAAATACACGGTTCTCGTACGTAACCGGGAAATGGTCAGGATCTTTATCGATTGCACGAGGAAGCGGTAGATGGACGCTCATAAATCTGGTCACCGTTCAACCAGAAATATCGAATGGATTTCGCGAGCAAAAGATTAAAAGACGCGCGAATTTTGCTCGGTCGATTAGACCGGCTGCCTGCTTCGAATTCAGGGTTTCGCGGTGAATAGAGTTCAGTCGGCGAAAATAGGATCCCAGGAGCTTCGTGAAAAGAGTTTCGTCGGTGTCGTTTACGGATATCGACCAAAGGGATTGGCCAACCGTTTGCGTCGCTAGAACTCGCTGACACCTATTAGGTCTGGTTTAACACGATCCGCCGACTTCTCGAATGCTGCTGATACATTTAAGATCCTCCGGAGACTCGCTAACCTGTAGGAAAGTCCGTTTGATCCGAAGCTCGCAGAAAAGACTCGCGGGAACGGGCGAGATTCGCACAGAGCGAACGACGCCGTCTAACTGGTCGCAAAAAAGTTTTTGGACTCCGGTAAGTGCAGGATCGTGTCCTGTCGTTTGCATGACTCTCGTCCATCGATTCTTCGCGCTATCGAAGCGGACCTTCTGTCTAATTATCCCCCGGGTGAGTCGGCCGATAACGAAAACGTCTCCGAGAAAATTACGTTCTTGAATACGTGTTGAGTCGCCTTCGAAAAGTAGCTGGACGCAAAATTCACCTTCGACCTCGGACATTGAAACTCTGATCCAAATTTTTCTAGCAAAATATTCGGATTGCATTCTTTTACATATTTTTTTGTGCTACCCATGTTTGGTGTCGGTATACGAAGCACGTTCCACCGAATACATTTGTTGCCATTTTCCAGTTGGCGTCGTTCGGAAAACACGATGTTTTGTACGTAACAACGAAATCGATTTACCTATACCTCCGGACGATTTTATCGGATTTAAAGTTTCGTCAACCTCTCCGAATAACTAACGATGTCACGATCGATATCACCGGCAAAACAGTTGTAAAAGAAAGTAATTGCGATGCCGTGTAAAACGACGACGACAGTTTTCGCAAAAGTATCGATCTCATTTGCGAGAGCATCGTTAGGTATTCGAGCATCGTTGTGGCAACAACCTTCTTGTCGTTATTACGGTAACACGATCCTTTGAAGCAACATCACAGCCCGATTTTATGATCTCTCCGTAAACCGAGGTTTCACTTCGCAGTTTCTCGCCGCCGGCTTTCCCGAAGCATTAAACCGGATTTCAGAGCGCTACTCGAAAATGCAAGAAAAACGGAAGTCGTTTCTAGCGGTCTTTTCAGCCGATCCTTTGACTGCGCTCGTTTCAAATTTAATCTGGAGTACTGGTATTCCGGGTCAACACATTTTTTCCACGTTTCTACCTGTTTTTAAATTGTACCCAATGTTAATTACCTCCTCTTACCCTTGATTGAACGCGAAAGAATCTCCCAGAGTAAATAGTAATTAACGATGGACACTTCCTGTTTCAAATTCTCGATAAACCCTTCCATCGGTATCGGTGACCGATGCATGGTTTCAAATGAGTGATTTAATGTACACGTACCATTAATGCTTATTTACGTCTCGATTAAAAGTCGATTCGCATCCGGCGAAGATTTATGCGAACGAAATGAACAACGATACACGAGAGACAGAGCCGGTTTCTTAACGACGACGTATGAGCGACGTTTAATTCGTGCTGTCAAGGAAGAAGTTTCCTGAAAGGAGATAAATGTTCCCTCGTAGCTATACGAGCATATATGGACATGCAGAGTACGTAACGAAGCCACGCAAATACTTTCTCATCATTTTGTGTACCTACGCTCTGTAGCCTACAGGTATAGATTAACCGTAGGCAGCCCTGTACCAACGGCACGAAACATCACGGTGGCCTAATAAGTTGGCGCACAGTCACCGTAACGAAATTTCGCGACGAAAGGGATAAATCGACCGCGAGCCGATTACATAACCGAAGGATAATAGGGCGGTCGTCAAGGAAGAGGAGAATCGTCGGAAACGTGACGCGGTGACGGAACTCGAGCAACGAAGTTTGCAGTTACCCTAGAGTTCCGCATCGATATTATTGTCGTAGAATCTGGCAGCGTTGCTTCGACATCGGCCGAACGAACGTTCCCTGGCGGACGATCCTACGAAATTACTGTCCTGTGGAATTGCCTCCGCACGCCGGAAATCCGTGCTCGTCTAATCTAATGAAACTGCGCGAACTGTGTGTAATTAAGCTGCCTCGCCGCGTCTGCCGCGCGGAATGAAAGCAGAGCAAACTCCGGGCAAACAGCGGGACACGAACGACCGGGAACGCAAGTTTCGCCGCGGAAATTACACCGACAAATAATCGGCCATCGAACCTGGACCGCGTCGCCGTATTATACACTGAACCATCGAAATCGCTGCGACGATTCGCGACCAGTTTTCCGAAGAACACTTTAGTCGGATCCGAAAACTTTTATCCTTCGAGCAGTTGTTTCGTAACGCGTTTCGCGAATGACGGGGTAGAATGAAATAAAAACTCACCCTAAACTTCCCGAGAGAAACCATGGCAGAGATCAAATCGCCAGGACCACGCTGTCGGGCGCGCGATCTGCTCATCGTCGCGACGTATGTCAAAGGGCTGACGTCCCTCAATTCCGTGTAGTCTGCAACGCCTAACAAAAATATTGATTTTATGCCTTGTCCTGCGTGTCACGCGATTTCCGTAAACGCTTCTGTGATCTAGTGACCGAGGGCAGAAATTTGCCTACGTCAGCCGCTCGACGGCGTTGATTTAGAACGTGGATCCCAACCGTTCTTTTTCGAGCAGCTTGCACGGTTGATCTATCGCTCGCCGTTTTTAGCCGGAATTATTCGTATCCGCTACAGCCATGATACTCTCTAGCGACGTCAACGTGAATCTTCCTCTCTGTTCTGTGCGCTTAACCCTCGTTGGATAGAAGCGTTTGCCTTTCAATTTTTAATACCGCGCGTTTATTTTATCGTCGCAAAAGGAGTCCATAAAGTACGCGAATAGCTCGATTTCGCGTCCACTAGCGAGATAAGCCTGGATTTCGAGGCTCGCTACATATTTGTAATAGCATGGTATAAATCTTTACTAAACGGATAACTTGGAACTTCATAGGGGTGTTGTAAACGTGCAACAACATTGTCATAAACGTTGCATATATTTGTATACACGAAAGATAATTCGTAAACAAAAGATAATTAACCCTCTTTTTGCGAAGAGAATAAAGCCCCGACGAACAATGTATCGAGAGAAATCGTGCGAAAACGTGGTTTTCTGCCACCTGACTGTATCCGTTTTTCTACTCGTGCAAGGATTTACCGTGCTTTGTTTGAAAATAATTATCTTTGCTCGCTGTTATTAAATGGGCAAAGTTTCAGACGACGTTTTCGGATCTCCGAAACTCGAGAGAGCAAATACCGGATGTTTTTTCTTCTGTCCGAAAGTTTCGCGAAAACCGACTGGTGCCTGTGAATCTAATTAATTCTCTAAACTCGAACTCGAGAACGCTTGATAGGAGTACCTTATTACAACGCGACAAGTTTTCCTGCAGTACAACGGAACCAGACAAGCTTCTTACTTAAATTCCTGTCTTAATACCTGATTTACTGGGTTTCCCTGTAATTACTCACGCGTAGCTTCTCTACGACGTTTCCCTAATCTATCGATTCGGCAAAACGAACCGAATTTATAAGCACAGTTTATGAAAAACGAGAACCGACAGTATTGATTCCGAAGTCTTCCGTTATGGCTGACTACTTCGTCTCCTAGACTACTTCCCGCGTTATGCCTCACCTTTCGTTTCGTAGCAAGCTTCTCGTCGCGACTGCAACAAAGAGTCAATGATTTCGTTAGCTCTCGAGTTCATCCTTTTCCGCCTCGCGATGCTGCTGACGCTCCTGACTTTGCTCCACGTGGAAAACGAGCTGAGTCCCCTGTTTTCGTTAAACGTTAAATTGTATCTAATCGCTTTGCCTCGGTAAAAGAAAATCAGTGGCAGACAGTTCCCCGAACGTTCGATCATGTTCGTCATACTCTCTGCCCAACACCAGCCTTCGGATAGGTAGTCCACGATTCCACTGGCAGGCGACACCTCTTGATTTATCACGGATTTACAAAACTTGGCCAACGACTGCATCTCCGAGGCGTAGATTTGTTGCCTCCTCTTCCACGACGACGCGCACCAACAGTGCTCGTGAAGACTGTTGAAGAGATTGTTTAAATACGAACGCAAGATTGGCTCGAGGATCTTTCGGTCGTAGTCCATACCTAGAAGAATACCGATATTAAACTGAGGAATTGTAGAGAAATTGTTTTCTCACCGAAGTGCAACCAGTGTAGAAGCATTTTTGTCATTATTGGGTAAGCTTCCAGATCCATGTTGGCGGTCTCTCCGTCCCTCCTGACTATGTCGACCAAGACTTCGACCGCGTAATCGAATTGGCTTTTGGCGTTGCAACGTTTCTCTTTCCTGGATAACTGACGCATTCTACGATTCGTCATCGCGTATATCTGATCCCTAGCCTGGGTTAAAACCAGTCTCAACAGATACACCAAGTTCTCCACGTGTTCCATCGCGGGGTAAGGCAATTCCGGGAAATTTAGGTAGGAATAGTTATTCGAATGATCCTGCGGATGTAAAGTATCTCCTCTTTGTTCGAAGCGCTTAAACGAATGTCGCAGAATCCTTAGTCAAAATTCTACCTGCAACGTGGCATTCTTCGCACGCAACACTTGCTCCAGGATCAAACTGAAATATTCCAGTTGCCTCGAGCTATATCCGTGATCCTCGCTCGGGCTTCCTCTAGGCAGCGAGGTCATGACGTCTCGCCATCTGACAATGAGCTCGCCCTCCATAACGTCCAAAGGTCTGGGCACGTCCCGTGTCATGGAAAAGGAACGATAATGGAGCGTCTCCAAGTACGACTCGAGCAGCCTGCAGTCGGAGACGTAAGAATCCTCGTGATGCACTATGCCACCTACGGAATGCGGAGATACGTAATCTGAATATAACCGTAGTCTTTTTTTAAAGTATAACGTTACTAGGATAAAGAGCTCCTTTTCCGCTAGCTTAAACTTTGAAACGGCAAGCGGAACTAATTCGAGCCGTTCGTGCTAGCAGGATTTCGAGCGCCTTAATTAAATCACGGGACGATTAAATTGTATACATTGTTCGAAGCAGCAGGCGTGTCCGTGAATAAATGGAAGGGCATAGCGAGAGAGATTTCTATGAAAAAATGCTGATACGATCGAGGAGTATCGTAGAATACTATGAATTCGACGTTCACGGCACAATGGTTCGCCTCGTTATCGTCACCAATTACGAATTTCCATGGAAACCAGACGATCGGACGGAGGTATTGATTGTCATATGAAAAATAAGCATGGAAAAAGAAGCCAGTGATTGGATAGAGGCCGAGACGAAAACAACACCGGCTCTTTCGTCACCCTAGTAAAACGCGCAACTTTTTGTTCCTTCTTTTTCGCCTTTCACAGTGAACCGAATTACCTCTCGCGCATTGTAGCATCACGTTGCACCGCGGATGAAAGTAACACCTCAGGTTCTGGCATTTCAGAGCAGCGACTAACTCGTCCAACGCTAATAAAACGTGTCGCGAAAGGGTGTCGGGCGACCAGCTCGTCAACGGATCAGGCCCTGTTCTTTCCAACGACCATCGGTATACGGTTCTCAAAATGTGTCTAGATACCACTCGTAAACGATGCTGCGACGAAGAGGCGCCCTTCCGTGTTATCTAAAAGAATTTCCATCGTATTTAATCAAAGTACGAGTACGTAAAAAATCTATCCTGTTCCTTAAATTCATGTTGTAAAGCAAGAGCATTAAACACGCCAGAAAAGCGAACAGGAAACTGTTTGCGATCGATAGAATGAGATGGGGTAACTAAACCAGAAGCAGTAAAAGGAGGAAACGCGATGGAAATTTTTAAAATCGATTCAACTTTTCTCATTACGTATTCACCGACGCTGCATGTTCGAATACCGCGGATGGGGGCAGATAAATTATTGCCGAATCGCAGGCGGCAACGTTTTTATTAAATAACCACGACGACGAGGCGACAGAGAGAATAGGTTTTGCACGGTCTTGCGACTGAACATTCGGGTCGTTTGTAAAAGGCAGGAAAGGGTGTCGAAGACTCGTGTTGTAGATATACAGCAAGAAATTTGGGGTCGCGAGAACGTTGGATGCATGTTAAATTATTATTGAAACGCCCTACGAAATCAGTCATGGTTCCTCGGTTCGACAAAAGTATAGACCGTAATATTCTCATAGATGAAACCATCAAAAGGAACGAAGCCGGGATATCAGTGAGGTGACTCTCGAACGGGGAAACAAATGATACGCCTACTGAATCGTCCAAATAAAATCCATCGCAAAGAAGTGCATTTATCACGCATCCGGCTAGGAATAGAATCAGAAATGTCGCGTGCAGCGGAAGGTGCATATGCTCGCTTCGTGTTCTCTGCAAGGTGGCGCCAAATTGTAACGATAGCGTGATCTCCTTCCTTCAAACTCTATGAAACACTAAACCTCCCCTTACCTTTGATTTCATCGGCGGATTCACGTGACGTCCTTCGCGGAGCTCGTACAAAATTTCCAGCAGCACAGATTCCGTGAGAGCAGGAACACTGTCGTCGGCATACTGTTGACTCATAATTTTCTCCGCTGCCGGAACACGTATCCTCCAGAGGGTTGCTCGGTTCTCGCAGCGTGCACCGGAGTATGGTCCAACGGCTACGGCGTACATACCCTGAAACAGTAACAACGAAGAAAGCACGCGAAACAAATGAATCAGTCTTCTTAGGCAGGAGCATGAAAATTACATGACCAGGACCGAATCTCGTGAACTCGACCATTCTGTACATCGAGTCGTAGGAAAACTCGTTTGTCTTTACTTATGTACATACAGCGAGCCGGTTAATTAACATTTTAAACGTTCGCGAAGTGAGTGACGTGTTCTAGAATTAAAAGGAAATGGCGCAGCGAAACTTTGGTCGATGCAATTTATCGACCTACAGCCAAAGAATTTGCCTCGCGAATATCGTACAAATCGATATCCCCGCGATTCTCGGTTACACGAAACAAACGTCACACTCTCCGACCGTGCAGTTTCGAGCAGAACACGCGTTCTACAGCCACGTGAACCGATAGATCGTTTAAACGCAACCAGGGAAAACGGAAGATCCACCTGAAGCTTGTTACCGAAAGCAATATTTATCTTACGAGCAAAGTAAATAGTGTGAGCGTAAAACAGAATATTGCATAGTTTTTTACGAGAAACGAAACCGTTGAATATTGGAAACGAGTTCGCTAGTACCCGTTGCATTTAGCCGTTTTTATTGTTCCATAATTCGACGATGTTCCGTGGTCGTAGTCGGATCCTTTACAAGTTATAGCTTTTAATAATCATTTGTCTACAAACCGTGAGACGAGAATAATCAATGCTCTAATTGCATAGCGCATGCGTATAACGCGAATCAACAAACTTCGAATATCGCTGAACAAATTGCGACATCGTATCATTTGATTTTACGATGTTAATAAGACTAACTAGAGTCTATCTCGATCTGCATGAATCGTTCGATCAAGAATGTACTCACGCTTTGTGCTACGCTGTAATGAAGAAGGGCATCGCAATGGTACAGAGGTATCCTTCGAGGATAATCTGCCAAACTAGGCCACGACGATATACCGATACCAATTAACAGTCTGACCTCAACTTCTCGAGCTTTGAGCCCATCCAAACCAATTCTGAGGAGTATTCCACCAGCGTCCTCTATCATGGCCACTCGATGATTCCTCGGTTCAGGTAACGGTCCATTCGAGACGCCTGCGAACCAACAGTTTCACGACTCAACCTGTTATCTAGTTTTACACGGTTAAAAATCACGTCGTTAGCCGGAGGAGCCGTTGTTGCACGCTAGACACGACGCGGCTTGATTTATAAGACACTCCTTTAATACAGTTACATGGGAACTGGGCATATTTTGCGGCGCTCGTTATTCTAAATCCTCTACAGTCGTTATAAAGTAACTTTGCCGGAGCATCTTGTTCTGATTTATGGGGCATGCGATATATCGAACTACTTGAGTCGCTTAGTGCATCTGTTATTTAATCCAAAGAATAAAGAGCTCGAGGCGCAGAAGGGAGTATAAAATTTTGAAGCAGTGACTAGAGATAAACGTCACCTATCTCAAGAATGCTTTTTCGAGTAGTATTCGCGATAAGAATTTGTCGCGTACTTTTATTTTGATTAACATTATCGTGCGAGTTTGCCGATAATTCGGAATTTGATCCGTAAAATATCCGACAGTGGTCCGGTTGTTTCAGTATTTTATCGAGAATCTCAGCGTCGACCACTTGGCCCGGCGAAACGCAACTCTGCTCCTCCATTAGGTTTGCAACATCTGAAACGAGTCGAACGTTACCCTTCGACGTTCACCAAACTTGTTAGCACTCGAGTAACAAATCCGTGGCTTATTCGGTAAACTGAACGTACTGTTCGAGTACGAAATACCTCGTTTAATGGCCGTAGCCAACAAATTTGCTAATTTGGCTTTTACAAGATCCCTCCTCAATCTCCCAGCAGCGTCCGTGTACTCCTGCCAGAGTTCTGTTCCAGCAGCTAGTAACTTTATCCGAATGAAACCTGGAAGAGAGGCATCTTCCTCGACGCTTACTCTCGGGACATCTTCGGCACTGGGAGTCGACAACTCGTCTATTCGTAGCAAGTATTCGAACCTAAGTTGCTAAACGGAGAAAAAATCACACTTGACTCGAATACGTGGACGTTGCTTCCGAACTCGAAAATATCGCTATTATTCCAACGAATCCTATCTGCCACGTTTCTTTACCTTTACCCGTCGGGGCTCGTTCAACGAAACGAGGAACATGGATGAAAACCTTTGATCCAGATTACCAGCGCCCAGCATCAAACGTTGTACCAATCTCTCCACAACAGCTTCGATCGCGGAAACATTCGCGGATTCTGCAACGGATTCAGCCGGTTGAAAGGGTCAGTGAATAAAAAATTGAGCAGTATCCTATTTAATTCCCGAATCCGATATTCTGCTTGTTTTACACGAAATCTTTTCACGGTAGGATGAATCTACGTGCAACATTTATCGAGAACACTCGTTAAACATTCACCATTCTGAGCCTGGTCGACCAGATTGCGGAAGTACGCGTTCAGGTTGCACAGCTGACCCTTGGTAAAAGCAAGTTTCGTAGCCATTAATCGAATGCCACCCTTCTTACACGACGGTGTACTGGGTGAACAGCCCATTTTCCTGACAGCAGAAAACAAAATAAACGTAAAAATCGATGGCGTACCGAAATTCGCGCAGCAACCAGTACACGAGCGAAATTACGAGGCAATCAACGTTTTCCGGTTCAAGGGAGAAATGAAGAAGAATTTCGAACGTTTCCCTGTTCCAACGGAAATGCGGAACAGCTACAAGAAAGAGGAAACAAAAAACGACGTAACGCGATAAATCACGTGGGAGAATCGATCTCCGATGCTTCGTATGAAAAGTTGTTAAATCACGTCCCTTCCTATGTACCGTAGCTTGCCGCTTAATAGCGATAGCCTGGAACAGTTTCGAAACGGTTTAAGGAATTCCTCGGGAATGCACGTTTCGCTTTCTCGACAGATTCCGTGCATATGTCCCTGTCAGCTTGCCGCACAGCTTCACGTTCACTCGGCGTGACACTACCCCTTTTTTCGCGTCTTCTAACAGTCTCGCTTCTTCGTCTTCTAAATACCTCGGTTGAGTCTCGATTTCAATAAAATCCACGCAAGAATAATAGAACACTTTTGTGAAAAATAATAAACTTCCGAAGTTATTTTACTTTAATACCTATTTGCCGAGCACGATCAAGTTCACAGACATAGAGATCCACAGTAAATACTGAACAAACGCTATATCACGAAGCAAAGCAACCGACTGACGTTTCCATTCCATCCGGAAAGATATTGTCGCTTCACAATAGTGTCCATGTAAATGCATCGAACGCCAATTATTATTCAGCAGATCGACTACCAATGCCAACGCAGCATTCGGTCACCGGAATTACTTCCGATCCCGATTGTGTGTGCTTCACTTCCGCTACTGTGAACGCATATCCCTCTTCACCTATTATGCATTATGTTGCCATCGTGATACTTCCTAGCCAGCTACATACGTTGGGTCTTTCAATTCACTTTCAAAATAACAAATTTTGAGTTTTGTAGAATAATAAAACTCAAATTAAAATTGCTTCTATTACTCTGACCATCATACACGGCAACTAAGCATTAAATTGTGAAATAAATTTACAACGTCAACTTTTATATGTACATTACATTAAAATAGATTTGAAATATTTCCACCGATAGTTAGTTCTAATTTGCAAAGATTTCAGTCGACTTCGATTTCTTATAGAAAACTGTTTTAACATCTATCGATACTACCGAAAAATTGCTGTTTGCTTTATCCCACGGGACTCTAAAATCCTATTACCATTTTCGGGTCACATCCTACCATATCAACTGGTGCTGATTTTACACTCAGCACTCTTGGTGGTTCAAATCGAAATTAAATACACCTCACAGTACTAGTTACTTACAGCCACTAAAAGCTCGACTGCAAACACTCCTTATTCCTCTTCTAACAATATCTTAATTTGCATGCAATAACAATCCCTGTCTGATCTGTCCCACTATAAATAATCTCACAAACGACTTTTTAATCTATTTTATTTATGATAGGGTGAAATAAGACATTGAACATTAAATTATTTTGAAGACTTTATTCTGATTATTATTTTCTGATGTCTTCTTATGTATATGCATATATAAATTACATATACATATACTGTTGTTTTTTAATTAAAAAAGCCCTTACAATAATAATATTGTAGCGACATCTTATAATCATAAGAAATGGTATATGTATTGTTAATTCGAAGGCACGATGTAGCTTAAAGAAGTTGGGGTCCCCACGATCGCAAAATGGCACACGGATAGTAAAAATTATCAAGAAATATAATAAAAAATATTCACGGCGAACAATCGTGCTACATAACGATGGCGTCGGCTTATATTAAAGATGAACAAGGTAATAAAATTTATTTTGTGAAAATATTTCAGTTATTATCATTATTATGTTATTTATAACCTGTAAGATGTAAACAACTAATATTGTACAAAATATGTGTTGCATTGTGATACCAAATCATGATTAAATACTAATTTCCTCTGATTATAATTAATCTGTAAATCTCATGTAAGTTAATAAGGTTGCAAAATGAAAATACTCAAATAATATGTTGATGTTAATTCATAAAATTTAACTCCTTGTGTTGGAAATGTTGCAGGTGGAACGTTCATTCCTGCCAGCCAACGTCCAGATGGGACATGGCGCAAGCCACGTCGTGTTAAAGATGGTTATATACCGCAAGAAGAAGTTCCACTGTACATAGATATTTATAAAATAATCTTATTAATCTTAAGCTTATGATACTGAATGTTACTAATTCTCTTCCAGGTATGAAAGTAAAGGTAAACAAATAAAAAATAAACCTATGTATCCAATAGGTGCAAGTCCACAATTTATAGCAGAGCACAAAGCTAAACAGGAAGCATTGCTAGCAGCGAAATCTAAAACAATTCCTGGTGTACAAGTCAAAACAGAAGCCAAGAAGAAGAAGAAAAAAAACAAACATAAAGCAAGTGAACATATTACGGAAGAATTAGCCAAAACTACTATCTCAGAACCAGAACAGAAAAAGGAATCATTGCCACAAAATAATAAACCACGCGTTGATACAAAGCCAGTAACAAACAGTCAACCACCACCTTCAAAACCAAATATTCTAAATCAATCTGAAGCTTCTGCACAGGATCCACAGAAAAGATTAAAAAACCTAAGAAAAAAGATTAGAGAGATTGAAACTTTGGAGGAGAAGATAAAATCTGGATTGTTAAAAAATCCAGAAAAAGAAATACTTGACAAATTAGCAAGGAAAGCTGAGATTTCAAATGAAATAAAGAGATTAGAAACAAGTCAATAGGAGGAAAAAATGAAAAGGCTTTATTTACATACTTCAGTGAATCATTGTTTCGTAGTAGTATGTAAACAAATGTTTTTCAAATTTTTTAAAATTTTAATACATTCTTCTGTAATGTCACACTTTTATCCTGTTTATACAGTAAGTAAATGGCAATATAAAATATACATTTATATATAAAAATTAAAATTGAATACTGATAAATATAGTATACTCTACCTGATACTTGTGAAAGACCAATCAGATTTTAATAAAAATTGTTTTTGCATACTATATGTTGTTATTTATGTTTATAAGAATAAATATCATGCCGATAAAATTTAAGTTTATGCTTTGTTCATTTCGCATAAATTATAGAAAACTCGGTTTAAATACTAGGGAATTTGGGTTGTGGGCGCACTGATCACTATTGCTTTCTTAGTGGTGGATAAAATTCCTACACTGTAGTAGTATTTCATAGTTATAAATACTGTACAGTATAAGTATCGTTTACAGTGTATACAATCGTGTACTGCACTTGTAATGTGAAAAATGTAAATAATTAATATGAACATTTCGGTAGCTCTTGCCTCTGTTACATTTTTAGATACGAAAGCCTATTTTTTTTATTTAATAATATATTGTATATAGTCAAAATGATATTGAGTGGAATCCAATCGACGAAAAGATCGAGGAGCAGACTGAAAGAAACATTTGTCGATAGACTATCGATGGATAGTTAATGAAATCGAATTAAATAAAATTCGATGCCTCTCGGCAGTAAACCTGAATGTGTCAAGTGTGGGACTCGAGAGACCCCGCTTTGGCACTCGACCGAAGCCGGTAACCTTTGTAATTCCTGTCTTGAAAATGAGAGAAACTCAGAAGTGAATTCAAATGTAAAAAATGAGGATGAAGATAAAGCAGGATCATTAAAGCCTACTAGGAGAAGTACAAGAATAACAAGATATTGCAATTCGAAAACAGTTTCGCACAAAATAATACCTAAAGGAAAAGGGCGAAGGAATTTGTTCAAAAAAACTGTATGTTTAATGATTGTCTTACTAATGAGAAGGTGACACTGTACTTTAACTGTTTTTTTTCTTCTTCTTAGCCAGTGAAAGCACCAACAGCTACGGCAACTCCAGTTACAAGTAATTATGTATTTTATAAAGGCACTTACTTTCAAGTGGGTGATATAGTTTCAATGCAAGATATTGATGGTGGAATTTATTATGCACAAATTCGTGGTTTACTCACAGATCAGTACTGTGAAAAAAGTGCTGCTGTTACTTGGCTTCTTCCTACTACAGCAAGGTAATACATCGAAGAATGTTAATGAGTTCATGAATCCATTCATTCATGTACATTTTGTATTTAGCCCACCACCTGATGAAGGATTTAGTCCAGAGACATATATTATAGGTCCAGAGGAAGATCTTCCACGTAAATTAGAATGCATGGAATTTGTAATGCATGCTCCATCAGATTATTATAAATTAAAAAATACACCATATCCACCATCACTAGCGGAAAGAGGCACTGGATATATATGGACTACACTTAGAAATGAAATTTCGACATTTAAAAAATAAATTTATTTTTGTGGATCAATTATTTTAAGCCCTCTTTTAATTATATTTTTTTTAATTTCATAAAAATATAAGAAAGTTTTGTTTGAAACAATGAATCATTGATGATTAGAATATACTTAAAGCTGTTAAACAGCTCTTTGAAAATAAAAACTATTGTTCATTATTGTAATGTTTATTACATATTTCTTTGATACAATATAACATTATTTAGTATCTTTAATAACTGGATGGAAACCTTCACAAATAACATAACATTAAATATACTGCTTCAGATATAGCAATGAAAATGCAATGTCATAGGTTACACTATAATGGAAACATATATTTTTTTAATATACAGGAGCGATATTACATCCTTCATAAAATATTAATGTTTTTAAAGCCATAAAGTTGTTTTACCTCTTTCTTTACATAACAAGTCCAGATCCTTGTTTTCAAAACTAAATACATACATCTCTTAAAACTCGTCTTCACTTTGTAAATGGTACTTACAAGCCTTAAAAATTAAAACAATTACTATTTTCATTTCTGGTACCGTTGAGACGAAATGTATGTGGAATTCGTAGGCAGTATTGGTGCATTTTCATTTGTTTGAAGAGGGGAGAAAAAAACCCTTGTAGTGTCACTTGCATTGGGATTCGTAGATGAAATCAGTCAGCTTGGAGCCAACGATGTAACGGCTGGTCAGAATTTGAGATCTTTTATGGCCTGTGGCAAATCAGGCAACTTCATGTCCTTTATCTGTTGTGGTATATTCATATTCTTGACAGCAGAAACAGCACGCGCCGGCGCTGCTGTGATTCCTGCCTGCACATACCATACGGATGGAAAAAAAATGGAAAACGGATAAATTTAGAGGATTTTTGAGCTTAAATTCATTAGTAGAAGTAAAGACAAATGAGTAGCTACGCAATACATATTTTATTCTTAGAGCATGGCGACGTATACATTTGCATTTAAGGCACTGTTACCGAGCAGACATTTACAAACAATAGCACCATCATGCGTGTTATGACTATTTATTTTGTAAAGCTAAGAAAGATTTATGTTTTGAGATTCTTGGTGAAAAAAGAAATCACAGATAAATTGTATAAAGGAATGACAGTGTACAAAATGATCTGATTTTTTTTACTGCCGATTTACTTAGGGAGGGGGCCCCAGAAGGACAAACGGACGAGGTGAGCAAGATCGTCCTGATTTGTAAGTTCCCTAAAATTCATGTTAGGTCAATCAGTCCTACCACCATATGAAATTGCTCTACAAAACATTCCAAAGCATGCATAGCTAACAAATAAACTGCTATAGGCTGTTAACTCCTTCAAGCCCAGGAAACTAATTTTATAAAATTTCAAATACTATTTTATACATAACACACTTTTACCAATATCTTGCTACTTTATAATTTGAATAAAAGAAAAATTAAATTGGGCCCAAAAAGTTAAGGGATGTTTGCATAAATTAGTCATCACATCTGTGATTTAGCGAGTTGAACTTTATCACAGTGCATTGTTATAAAAGAATTTGTTATCTTCAATATCCATAAATTATACAAATAAAGGTTAAACATACAATATATATTCTCAACTTTTTAATTATTTATAATAAATTATTACTTACCTCCTGTTTCTCCAATTTATTTTGATCTTCAATTCGTGTAAGTATTTCAGTCATATTAGTTTCAAGGACCATTCCACCCATCACTAATTCATTGAGTATATAGTGAACTTTATCTACATGAAAAATTAAATCAAGTTCGCATACATTTTCAAAACATTTATCCAATGTTTCAACGAAAACTTGTATCAGATCTAATATTCCTAATTCTGATTCTGAACTGTCGACACAGAATACAAAATATAAAGTTGCATAATGTCGATAAATTAATTTATAATCAGAACCTCCAATTAAACTTCCACCTTCCAAAAAGTTACAAACATTATCATCTCTTTTGGAAACCAACTGAAATGTTTCTTTTATTATCTGTTGCTGCATATCTTCATTCTAAAAAAAGTTTTTCATTAAATTCTACAGAGAATAACAATAATAAAAAATAACTGTTGTACTTACAAAGTATTGGTAAAATTTAGAAAGTCTAGGCTTTCCATGATTGTTAAATACCAAAATTGCCTTAATCATGACTAACGATTAATTAACAAAATATGTTTCACTTTTACTATGTAAACAAGAAGTATTCATTTGTATATATAAAGGTTAAAACTTCAAATTTTTATATTTCATAATAAAAATATATTTAACTCCTAATCAGTGCATCATTGATAGAGTCGGAGTTAACTCTAATTGAATTAGCGATAAAAGTTCATAATTCTTAAAGTATGTACTTAAACTTTCCATAAATTTTGGAGTCTTTATCTTATCTTCACTAAACAAAAACTGATTCATTCAATAAACTGTAACTAATTTTATATCGAAGAAAATAGTAACGCACTATTTTTAAAAAATATGGTTCCACAAATATAAATTATAATAATAAAATTCAATAAACTAAACCACAAACGGATACAGTTTTTCTGTGTGGATGTTCATGCGAACACTCTACCTTATCATCCAATAAATAAGATGATTCAAATAATCTACACCAGGTGGTGCTTGAATCGTTATTCCTAGAAAGTATTCCCTAGACTAATCACGACAACTTCATTCGAGTACAAATCTGAATTTTTAGGGGAAACGGTGGTCTATGAAAAGAAGTCTCCACCGTCTCCGATAGCCTTCGAGTATTGCATTATGCTCAATTCACAGGGGTCAATAAATAAAATTCAAATACATGCTGATAGATACGATAATAATTTAATGAACATTTATTCATAAAATTAATTTTGGTTAAATATATTAGTTATATTTATTATTTGGATATCTGGAAGGCGATATCGTGCCAAGCGACTTACAATCTAAGTTCAACATTTCATTGCAAGATGGGGGTGGATGTATATTATTTTGAATGCATACGGATAACATTATAATATTCTTATCTTTACAACTTTCATTTTATTTTATTCTGTATAATGTAGAGGTATTCTTTGAACATCATTTATATTTATAAAATATTTTAGTTATTAATTAATCATGTACCAGTTGAAAGTAAGATTTCCACCCCATGAGTGATCGCTCCAAGATGGCTCTGGTGCTTCTGTTTTCAAATTACACGATAGAAATAAGGGTTGCATAATATTTTTAGCTGAACTACATAAATTAAATAGCCATATTACTTTGATTAAAGACGTCGATTTCGAATATCTTAATTTTTAATTTCTATAAAGTTTTTAATACTATTTATTCATTTCATTGTCAAGGAAGAAATAATACATTTGTGTGAATCATACAAATCATAAATTTATACTAATTATACGTACAAATACTCAATAAATCGTAGAGTAATTTACCAACATTATGGTTCTATAAGTGTCCATGTATATCTACAATTTCCAAAAGTAAAATTCCTAATGTGTTCATTAACTTTAACTGTTTGATCATTGCAGACTTATCTTGAAATTAAAAATATGTCATCGATTTCTGATACAGTTATTTAATTACTTTGTTTTGATGGCGTTGTTTAATAAAACCCTTCTGAAAAAGGAAAAACTTACCCTGTATGTTTCGATCGTTCTCGTTTTCCAGGGCAGTCACATTTTCAATGAAAGCTTCCCACCTGAAATTGGATGTGTTCTCGGCCAATTGCCGCATACATATTCATAGAAGTCCACACACGTAGCCGCAAAAGCGTTTCTGTTCCTCGGTATCAGTCTATCCATTCAACGTAAACGAAAAATATTCTACCCACGGAAATTGCGAAAGATATTTCACCAGAGAAAGATAGATAATTTCCTAAATACTTTGAAATCTCTTTCTGCATCAAATAATTTAAAATGACGCGGTAAAATCTATAAAACGAAATATATTAAATAAGTGACCAAACGGAAAATTAATTATTTTGTGCGTACAGATAAATTCTCAGTTGATTAATCAGAAATGTTGATGAACCGATAATAATGTTAATTGTAAAGATATTACGAGGTGCCAGTGCAGATCTTACAGTTCAATGAGTCTTTAATGAACATTTCCTGCTCATTAATTTACGTGACATGTATTGTAGTTTCATAAACGAATTTTTGTATCTCTTCGATGGAAAAGTAATATCGTTTTTTATTACTTTATTTTTGCAGTGAAAATTTGGAAAATGCCAAATATCTTTCAATTAAGAGCATCGGCATTTTATCAGTGCTGATTAGGAGCAATGTTAACAGTATTTCCTAACCAGTGATTCGAACATTTCTGCAGATATCGACGCAGTAACACCGACATCGTTTGCATAACTACACGACGTGGAAAATAATAATTATATCTTTCTACTAATTAACAAGTTCGCAATATCAATGTTGTAGTAATTGCGGATCATTATTAAATTTGCTACAGCTTCCTCGTTAAACGAGCAAAACTGCTTCTTCTAATTAATAAACGAGAAACACTGCTAATGAACATACGGAATGGAACAACTGAACAAGAAACCACAAAATATCGAGTTAACGTCGGCTGAATGGTCCAGCCTATCCTTTTGAAACTGTTGCATTTATTTACATCAGTGATTGCAATGAAATATACATACGAAGCATCGTTGTGAACGTACTGCTCGGTTTCTTCGCTCGTTTGCACAATATTCTTTATTCCAGAACGTACATCTTCTCTTAAACGATTCGTTGTCGAGTACGAAACGAACAACGATCCTTTCTATAATATTGCATCGTCGAAAAAAAGGACGTAGCCTTAAACTAATCGAATCGCTGGAAAATTTTATCTTTTTACTACTGCCACTTAGCGTGCGAACAGTTTCTTTTCTTCAGCTTCTTCGCGTTGCTGAGTATCTTGACGTCACTTACGCCATTTGCAGCTCTGTGTCGCCATCGCGTTTGGGAATCTGGGAGGGTGGGAATTGAGGGATTTGAGAATTTGGGGGTGTGAGAGTTTGGGAATTTGGGAATTTGGAAATGTGGGAATTGAGGGATTTGAGAATTTGGAGATGTGAGAGTTTGGGAAAGTGGAAATTTGGAAATGTGGGAATTTAGGGATTTGAAAATTTGGGGATGTGAGAGTTTGGGAAAGTGGGAATTTGGAAATGTGGGAATTGAGGGATTTGAGAATTTGGGGAAGTGAGAATTCGGGAAAGTGGAAATTTGGAAATGTGGGAATTCGGGGATTTGAGAATTTGGGGATGTGAGAGTTTGGGACCGTGGGAATTTGGGAATGTGGGAATTTAGGAATGTGGGAATTTGGGAATGTGGGAATTTGGAAATGTGGGAATTCAGGGATTTGAGAATTTGGGGATGTGAGAGTTTGGGAACGTGGGAATTTGGGAACGTGATAATTCGAGAATGTGGAAATTGGGGGATTTGAGAATTTGGGCATGTGAGAGTGTGAGAAAGCGGAAATTTGGAAATGTGGGAATTCAGAGATTTGAGAATTTGGGAACGTGAGAGTTTGGAAAAGTAGAAATTTGGAAATACGTAAATTTAGAGAATTCCTTAAAATCCTATAAACAATAATTCTGCATTAAAATCTAAAGAATCAGTCGCGACACAGAACCGCAAACGTTCAATTAGTATTCGAGAACAACGATGCAAACTCGTGGCACTGTATCGATCTCTGTCGCTTCTATTGAACTTGGAAATGAAGATCGATTCGTCGATACCGTGAAGATTACTCGCTATAGAAGTATCATAGTATGTACAGTAGAAGATTCGCATGAAATCGATGGATAATCGGCGGGAGCTACGTTTACGTTTCGACAAAGAGAAATCGACAACGATATGTCGACGTCTAAGTTTATTATTAATGATTTATCTTTAAAATGACAATCGCAGTGGTTTCGTGAGCAGCAACGGAGCAAATGAATGTTTATACATCTGTACACGATAGTTGTTGCATATACGAATTTATATCGGCAAGATTTCGAGCGGATCAAGCCACCGGGAACTCGGCAATTAAGTTTAATTAATCCTCAAGATGGTATCCTCTGGCTGATGCAAATTAATTTCGGGCTTACGCAACTTTGAAGCATGATTTCGTCCCACAAAGTGCATTTCCTGTGGCTCGTGAAAATGTATTGTTTTTACTCGAATCGAAACATTATTCATTATTAAATTTAGATGACTTTTTCATAGATTTTTGTTTTAACGTTACTCTTCTAATATTAATTATACTGCTGGACAATATTTCTTTTTAAGCATCAACATTAGGGTTTCTACTTTATTGTGTGTTGATGTTAATCCTTAAAAAAAGGATGTTGCTGCTTAAAGATGTATTCTGATTATTACTCCATCGTTGCATAGTTTGACGTATTCTTTTGTCCGCTCGAAATTGGCCGCCCCTTCTCTCGTTAGTGGTAGCTAAACGGTAGCAAGTTAAGTGTTTATCATAGACATATCTGAGAATGTAGCTATTTCGAAGAGAACTTTCGTAAGGTAACGCTATCTTAGGAACAATCGCCTCGAAACAACGTCGAGTCACCCTCGGAGCTCGTGGAAAAAATCCATTCTCGAGGTTGAATTCGACCGGGAACGTTGGCTGTTCGCAGACTTTCGGGGCCAATTTTGTCGTTCCAGCGAAAACTTTCAATGAAAAACACTACGGATTTTCTAAGGCATGCCTAAGTACGTGATACGATAGTTGAACGCTATCCGAAGGAGAGGAAAATGTTAACCATTAACTACTATGGACTTGTGAGATCAGTTTTAATTCTCAATCATCCCCATTTTCATCTCCTCATATTACCTTTCACTATACGTGACCTGAGCAAACATTAAGTACATTGACAAGGCAAATTATTTCATTAAACAAAATTGTATGCCTAAACCTTTTTATTTTCACAAGTCATTTATTATAATTTTGATTTTGCGATCAAAGTTTGTTGCAACTGAGGACAGGACCTCAAGTCTGATCTACTTTGCTGTCAGTGAATCTTGCTAAAACTTTGACACTTTGAAACCGCTCATTTAACAATTTAGTTAATTGCTAAGTATCAATGAAAGGTTTACGCATTCACACTCATGAAATCGGCGCGAAACAAGTGTTACTTAACTGAACACGATAACAGTTCGAATAGCCATAGTAGTCAAAGGTTGACGTAATAACTGTCTTATGTACACGAGAAACACACGGCCACGCACTCGTCGTCACACTTTGCATACGCTCGCACTCGCTTCGAAAACGATCGAATTTAAATCCACTGTCAGCGAATTATCCTAGAACCACCGCAAAGCATCCTCTTGAAGGCCTGCCTGAACTCTGGTGAGAATACCGTGTAAATCACAGGGTTCAGGGTGCTGTTGAAGTAGCCCAGCCACAGGAAGACGCTAGCTATCAGCTCCGGTGGCTCGCAGACTTCGCACGTGGCACGCAGCAGAGCGACCAAGAAGAAAGGCAGCCAACACGCGACGAATGCACCCGTTATTATCGCCAGTGTTTTCGCTGCTTTCCTCTCGCGCTTCGACTCGATCGTTTCGCGTGTTCTCTTGCTGGAGGAAGTCGAATGGCTGCTGGAAGGGTTCGTCACCGTGGTGATGGTTGTGGTGGTCGTCGTGGACACCGTGGACGGTGTCACGGTGGCCGACTGGGTCGTATTGGCCCCGTTGTACGACGACGACTTCTCTGGAGAGATGGACGAGTGATCTGGGGTGGATCTCGTTATGGTGAACGCCGTCGATTCCTCTCTTGGCCTGGAAACACACCAATAGTTAATCAAATCATTTGCATACTATATTATTTAATATAGCTTGATGGTACACTTTCAAATCTTTAACGCTTGCAATATGTAGAGTTGCATTTTGAAAATACTTGTTATAAAGTCTTTAATTAAATATATATAATTTGAAGCTCGTGATGGGAACAATTGGCTTTTGTCGGGATTGCTAATTAAAGTTGCAGAGCAAGAAATCTCGTTAGTTGCGGAACGAAGTAGAATTTCGAGCATGATGCGTCTAGTAGAAGAAACTCATTCAATTATCGTTGCGTTACGGATAATACATTTATGGTGCGTTAAGGTGATATTTCTCGAGTTTCTTCGGATACGGTGCTCCCGCGAGCTCGTTTAACAAACGCGACACCGTAATTAATCCGTGCGCGAGAATCAGCCGCATAGAAACAGCGAACACAGAGAGGAATAACTTAAGACGTGCGCTAACGAGTCTCGGTAACGCGTATTTATTCAGAGCGACGGGAAGTGGAACCTTCTTGTGACGAGTCTAAGGATGCCTCTTCTTTCGCGAGGTGGTTGCACGATAGTCCCTGGTCTCTTCCTGATTCGTTTCCGTGCCGCTTGAAATATCCTCCAGTACAGAAATAGAATAACCAGCAGGGGCACGTAGAAAGTGGCGCAAGTGGCGAAGATCTGCAAAGTATTTTAAGAAACTCCGGGTTAATTTCACCCTCGAATGTATCTCTAAATAGAAATTTCATTCGCAATTATAAATTCGTTACATTTACAAGGGGCTTTCAGCTGTAGCTACGTGTAATTTAACGTTAATTACGTATTATTAAATTATACGTAATGGTTTTTTTTATGTATGTCATATGATGTGGCGACGATAAATTGTGGAAATAATATTCAAATTTTGCGTATGAGGACGGTAGCATATGTGCATGATATTTTCACGACTGGGTCGTATTGGCCCCGTTGTACGACGACGACTTCTCTGGAGAGATGGACGAGTGATCTGGGGTGGATCTCGTTATGGTGAACGCCGTCGATTCCTCTCTTGGCCTGGAAACACACCAATAGTTAATCAAATCATTTGCATACTATATTATTTAATATAGCTTGATGGTACACTTTCAAATCTTTAACGCTTGCAATATGTAGAGTTGCATTTTGAAAATACTTGTTATAAAGTCTTTAATTAAATATATATAATTTGAAGCTCGTGATGGGAACAATTGGCTTTTGTCGGGATTGCTAATTAAAGTTGCAGAGCAAGAAATCTCGTTAGTTGCGGAACGAAGTAGAATTTCGAGCATGATGCGTCTAGTAGAAGAAACTCATTCAATTATCGTTGCGTTACGGATAATACATTTATGGTGCGTTAAGGTGATATTTCTCGAGTTTCTTCGGATACGGTGCTCCCGCGAGCTCGTTTAACAAACGCGACACCGTAATTAATCCGTGCGCGAGAATCAGCCGCATAGAAACAGCGAACACAGAGAGGAATAACTTAAGACGTGCGCTAACGAGTCTCGGTAACGCGTATTTATTCAGAGCGACGGGAAGTGGAACCTTCTTGTGACGAGTCTAAGGATGCCTCTTCTTTCGCGAGGTGGTTGCACGATAGTCCCTGGTCTCTTCCTGATTCGTTTCCGTGCCGCTTGAAATATCCTCCAGTACAGAAATAGAATAACCAGCAGGGGCACGTAGAAAGTGGCGCAAGTGGCGAAGATCTGCAAAGTATTTTAAGAAACTCCGGGTTAATTTCACCCTCGAATGTATCTCTAAATAGAAATTTCATTCGCAATTATAAATTCGTTACATTTACAAGGGGCTTTCAGCTGTAGCTACGTGTAATTTAACGTTAATTACGTATTATTAAATTATACGTAATGGTTTTTTTTATGTATGTCATATGATGTGGCGACGATAAATTGTGGAAATAATATTCAAATTTTGCGTATGAGGACGGTAGCATATGTGCATGATATTTTCATGGGAATGCATAGGAAGTATTATTTTAGTTGGAGATACTTGAAACGTAAAAAAATATGAGATGATCCAGAATTTGATGGGATCAAATGAATTATAGAAGTATGATTCTGATTTATCAAGAAGCAGTCACCTGGTATGCGGGATCCTGCGACACCAGACACGTTCCATCCGCTATACGATCTAAATAATCGGGATCTTTCCAACCGAGTTGGGGTGCCAACGAGATTCCTAGGGACACCACCCAGACGGTGACGATCAACATACCGATCCTGCGTGGATTCCTCGCCTGGAAGTAAAGAAATTCCATCAGCAGCTATCACACTCAAGAACCACACGGTGACTATACTCTCCCCGTTTCATCTCCCTGGGGATCTTCTTTTGCCCTTCAGACATTTTTATATTCCCACGTTCGAGATAATATTCCGACCAACAATGGCATATCTCTATATCGAGGTAACACGACCGACCAGAAATTTGAATATTTAACGTTTATGCTACTTTCGCTCAAGTGTGATAAGAAACGCGATTACGAATTGTTACGTGCTAGTGAAGCCCAAAGTTGCGAATCGGTTTCATCTTTTTTACTTCACTGCTACTTGCAGTGAGATTTTGTACATTTAGCAGGAATCTTAGAACTCATAATTTTGTAAAATTATAGACCCATTCTATTCTTCCGAAGCAGAACTCGAGTACAGAAACTTCCAAAGTTCGCGAGATGCTTTCTAAAAAATTGCAACGTTTTGCAACGCCGTCGCAATTTCACGAAAGGCTTTAAAGTAGATTACGTTTTTTTGGATAAAACATAGAGTTCAGGGTTTGAAAGTTGCCGATAAGATGAAGCAGTAGGTTTGCAACTTCGCGAAACATTGTTAAATTTAATAGTAGGAAAATCGCTGATTTTATAAATCGAGTATCGATTAAGTGATTAACGACGTGACAGCGAAGGGTCTGAAATTAGTCGGTCGTAATAAACGTCGAAGCACAGTTAAGCTCGTTATTCGTTCGAGATGTGCAGCTTCGTAACAATATCATCTCAATCTTGTCTGTTGAATCCCAATGCACTAACTACCTGCAACATGCGGGCACCGGCATCAGGATATCGCAGGATTTAGATTCGATTAACTATTGATTGTCAGTGATAGGATGCCCAGCTTGATTGCCAGGTACAAATGGTATATGTAATTCCGGACGCGTTCCTTCGTTAACTCCCTGGACGCGATTTAATCCCATAAAACATTAATTTCACCCAACAATTACTTCATTCGATTAATTTGTAGAGGCGAATTTTCTGAGTGCAAAGAAAGCAAATAACTTAAATTTTAAGAACACGCGTTCACTTGAGAACATACGTTCAGAATATTGCTTGACATTCGGTGCATGTTTTAATACCCGCATTCCGACATCAAAAAACGATGGAACTCTTTACTCAACCATTTTACAGGCGTGCACGTAATAATCCTGCTAATTGCATCCTTCTCTTTAACGATCTCGGGTCGTATAAAGGGGAACAGGACGCCGGAGTATGATTATCGAATTGCATTCTAGGGATCAATACACGACCGTTTCTACGTCGTGTTCTAATCTCCTTTCCGGTACCATCGTTCTTCCGGTGTCTTGCCCTAACGTTCTACTCGTTACGTTCTAGTTTCGACTTTGCATCTCGCCGTCGAACCGCGACGCTGTTAATTAACCTGTATATAATTGAGATCGGTGACTGCCCAATATCTGTCGACCGCGATAGCCACCAGATGCAATATCGAGGCAGTGCAGCAGAGAACGTCGCTACTGGTCCACATGTCGCAAAGCTCCGGCCCCAGCGACCATCCCGAATTTATCTGCAATAAACGGAATTATCTGTTAGAGAATATCTATGTGTACGTGGCGTGGCGACGTTCGATCGATTGCCTCCACGGATCCTGAGGGTGTATTTAACGAATACGGCCAACCCTAAGCTCGTCGAACATCGGACCTCGACAGCAACGTGTACAAGGCTGTCCAAAAGTTTCGGATCGGGTGATTCAAATTTTGTAAATTGGTGCATCGAGTGTTTTTTATTAGTTTCATCGATTGTGAGAGGTACTTGTACTGTTGGACGCAAAACTTCTTTCAAGTAAAGATAGGAGTGGAGGTTTGGGGAAAATCTAAGTAGAATTGAGGGAGGGTTTTGAGACGCTAGGAAATATTTAGGGAAGACGAGTGTAGAAATTTCCGAAGTAACAAATACTCAAATGTTCAAATTATAAAATTTTCAAATCTGCAGTTTCCACTCTCTCAAGTTCTCATTTGCACATTTTCAAATTTCCCTGGCCCAGTTAAAAATCGCAGGAAATATCTGACTTACTCCCATATTTCCTGTAAACTACGTAGCATTTTAGTGCGCAGAAATGATCGCACTAATGAGCAAAAAAGAGCAATTTTACTTTAATCCAAAACCCAATTTCTCGCGCGCGTAAAAACTTGTTCTACACTATAGTTTATAATGCATGCGCTTTTTAATTTCCATTGTCAGCCTGGAAAGTGGTACTGCACGCTCGCATACGGCTGTTCGAAATAAAAATGGAGTCGTTAGCGAAACGTCGACGTCGTTTCAGTTTCAGCGAGCATCGGGTTCGCTGCGTTGAAGACGAAGTCTAATTACCGCGATTCCTATAGGGAAGAATATACGATACAATGAAAACGAGAGGGTACCAGGATGAAATTTTAATATGAGCTTCTGTAACTCGACGGAAACTGTCGTAACAGAGGACGACATAACGAAAATTACTGCTCTGGCGGACTCGATAATGGAAATACTGGTAACTGCTGCACCTGGAAGCGGTAGCTATCGTGTCATCAACGGGATTCCGTAAACGTGCAAATCTTCATCGTACGATCTGTGACAAACGATAACTACGTGACATACTCATTTCCAATTTGTCGTGTCGTGCGAACGAGCGATAGCGGTCGTGTAAATATCGCGTTTCGTCACGTCCATCGATCTTTCCCCTTTTTTTTGTTTTTACAAACTTCCGGTAAATTTGCTTTTCTTTCGAAGCGCGAAAATATAAATACCGGAATCTGTGTTCGTGTTTCATGGGACAGAAAATTGCAAACAACGGTTTAACGGGATTTATTTGTTGCATCGATATAAATTCCAGCTGAAATAATCCTTTTTAAATAAAACCACAGTCGGATGTTCATAATAACGTCAAATGAACCGTTTTATATGATTACTTTACCGGGGTTTAAAATGTCGCGAATAAAGTAAATCGCTTTTTACAATAAAACAAACTGTGAGCGTTGAAACGTGTGTCGTCGATTTCTTTGGGAAGAAAATTTCGTGGACATCCTTCATTTTATGTGTTTCATTACTAAAAAGAATAACAGCGTCACAATTTTATTTGAAGACCCAATACTTTCGAGTGCAATGGATTTGAAAGATTTGCGGAAGAACCCCATCGCGAAAAACTACAAAATTTAGCTCGGAAATATACTTGATCGATAGGTAAGAGTCTGCTCGTGAAGCCGCAGTTTCTTCCAACTCGATATTTCAATCCGTTCCAGAGATATAAGCGTTCAAAGTGTGCACAGCATGCAAGACGCGAGCGTAGAATGTTGAATGACACCAACCCTCGAAAGCGCGACCTACATTTTTTCTGGAAAATGCGTACGTCGAGAACGGTGATAGTAAAGATGTTGATTCGTCTGTCAATCACGTGGTCATTGAGTTAGGTTGAGAGCATGGAATTTTGGGAGAATTTCGAGACCGAAACTACGAATGCGTGAAACTTCGGTGCACCGAGTTGAAAAATAAAATCCACAATAAATCCGTCAATGAAAAATTTCTAAAATCCCTCAACTTAATACTTTAAGTACCTCGCACTGTGATTTATGAAGTACCGACTACTATTTACAGTTGTGTTTTAGCATGTTTTATTACTTTTGTTTGCATTCACATTTGAACATAAAGTAAATTTAACTTTGAAGCATTGTTGTACTGCACACATGGATGGAGCTGAAAACTTTTTCGTTCGAAGTACAACATAAATTTCAGTTTAGCTATTTTTCACAATCCTCTTATTTATGGCCCCGAAGAGCAAACAACCAAGAAGGACGACAAAGTAGTTGTTGCAACAAACGGTCAAAGGTTGGAAATACGAGCTGATCGAAAGCGCTTAACTTTATGGCAACGAAAGAGACCGGATTGAACCGTTCCAATTGGCCTAGTTGCTGGTCAACGATCGCTTATTTCTTTGACATTTCATGGAACTTCGATCGCAACATGTGGTCGAAAATCCTTACCTTTGTCCGAGAACACGGACACCGAAATGCAGTGGCACACACATTTATGAACTCGACGCACGGAACAAAAGACGTGGGTTAATAGAGGGAAAAGCAACCGATTCAAAAGCACCTAACTTTATAAAGGACTTCTCTTGCCAGAAAAGGAAAAAGGCAACATCCTTCCCAAAAGACATCAGGAAATGACCAACAAACCTCTTTACTACGTCGGGTTAATTAAATGACTATGACAAGATTAAGTTCTTCAAACATTTCTGACAATCTACTTGGTTGATTGAACGTCGATAAAATTTCAGAAGCCAAACGAATTACCTCACAATAATTATTATAAATTTAGCAAACCTGCTTGTTAATTAACAAGGTTAATCAAAGTGGCCCACCACAAGTTTGTAGCTGTCTAGCTAGAAAAATGGTGATGAATGTCGTATGATCGCTTCGATTCTTACCTGCTGTGAAATTTATCGTGCACGGAAAGCCGTGAGGGACTTCCTGTTACTTGATAAATAATTCATCCGTAATAAATAATAAAAGTGGTTAATACGTTCGGTCGAAGGGCAGCCGGTACAGCTTCCATTCAAAGCTGTTCGCGTAGAAATTTTAAATCACGAGAGTAGCCGGCAAGTGGTACACTAAGCGGGACGATTGATTTAAAACGTTGTCCCATTTTTCGAGTCCCTGAAGAGTGCTCGGTGTCGCTTACCAAGCGTGTTCCTAAATAAAGCTTCTTTTGTCATAGTCGTAGAAGACTGTGTCTTAGGTTTGATAAGGTCGGCACTTTTTCCTTAGCTAAACGAGGCCATCACTTTCTAATTTCGCCAGACACGTTTGCCTCCAAATCATTTCTGTTGGAAATTGTTTCATTATTGTGTAAATTCGAGGAACATTCCAACCGACCTCGCGATCCTTATTTCCTTACAAATAGAATGAAACGTGCGTGATTCAAGGTAACATCAATAATTTCTAGGCAAATTAGCTAGACAGTTGCAACTGTCGTGGGCGACCTTTAGTTCCATCACAAATCACGAATTAGGGTACGAGCTAGTGCAATAAGCAAATCGACACGATAGAGTTTGATAGAGAAAATTTTGTATTATTAAGAAAAAACTAGAACGTAGGAAGAATTTCGCAAATCCTTGAACGTTTAGACTCTCGGAAATTCTATGGAAATTCCTTGAAAAAACCTGGAGAGGATCTTAAGGAGAATAGAGAGGAATTCTATGAGAAAAGTTAGAGAACCCTAGCAAAACCCATGGAGTACCTCGGAAGAACCCTGAGGGGCGTAAGAAACATACTGAAGAGCAAGTAGAAAGAACCTAACAAAAATCATGAGAAAAATTTAGCTGAAATCCTAGTGAAACTTAAAGAAACTTTTGCAAGACCGAACTCAGGGAAGAATTTGAAGAAAAAGTGTCCTATGAAAAATTGAAGAACCTAACAAAGAATCCAGAGCTGACTTCAGATATTCCTACATTTCTCTTGAACTAAGATTGACGTGCATTGTATCCGAGTGTTCTGTACTCGAATGACTAACGAGCTTCCATAATTGGAGCCAGTTATCAAACTTGCCTTCCATTTCCGTATAATATTCTATAGGGTGCGTCGACTAAACTCGTTAACAAAAATTGATCGATAAAGTATATGATATGTTTTCCCGGGACGAGCTTTTTCTTTCTATACAAATCCATTACAGTAAGCAAGACGATCGGGACCCGTGAAGGTAATCGTAACGCTGTGGTCGTGCATCAATGTGTTGAACACAAGCTATCTGAATACTGGTATCAAGAGACTGGGCATCGAGCTGGGTAGACGGGTTGGAAAGCATTTGTTCGCGTATAATAGAATCTCCGGCTCGGCTGCCATAACGGGCCGGCCTCGTAAATCATCTGCTTGTGTCAGTGCGCAACATTCTCGTAAGGAGATTAGGATCGATACCGGTATCCGAATTCCAACAGACACACGGTCACGCTGTGTGAAACTTTACGATTTTGCGACTTGGACAACTGTGTCGAGCATGTGGATTCCCTTAATTGTCGTTCTTGTTCCCTTCAAGTTGCCGGCACGCAGATTCGCCTACCTTTGCTCGCTTCTGGACCGCATCCAAAATGTGGGCGGTTTTGATATTCAAGAGGCGGTTCGTTACAACCACCATCAAATCGTGATGAAGTTTCTAGTGGAATTTTCTGTCCGGGGAGCGTTCAATTAATTGTTCGTCCATAATGGACATTTAATATTTATTTAACGTCCAATCACCGCTCCAGAGGTTTCAATGGTATTAAATGAATAAATAGTACGATCGAATGTATCGCTGTTTATACGTTCGATTGATTGCTTTCGTGAATCAAATAGCGACATTGATTTCTTCATAAATTATGCACTCCTCGATCGACAATCGCCGAAGGTGGAGGCTAACAGTTTACTTGTACGACTTTTCGAACCTGTAATCGATTACCCTGAAATCGATGCCTAGTTTCCACGCAACAAGTGCTGAAATTGTCAGAAATTATCACCTTCGATGACGCGTCGTCCACACGCGAGAGACGCTTAATTTTGTTAT